TATAATATATAATATATTATATATATATAATATATATATATATATATATATATATATATATATATATATATATGTGTGTGTGTGTGTGTATTGATCCAAAACCTCGGTTGCACAGACATATTCAGGAGGTATCCCAACAGATACGAAGGTGTGATTGCTGATTTGTGTTTGAATCTGGAGACGTTGGATGAGCCAGATGCAAAGGCTGCGATGATTTGGATCATTGGCGAATACTCAGACCGAATAGACAATGCCGATGAACTGCTGGAGAATTTCGTGGACGGATATTTGGGTAAGATTCGTTTGTTTATTGGGAGAAAATGGAATTTTGTGGACGAATATTTGGGTAAGATTCGTTTGTTTATTGGGAGAAAATGAAGTTTCGTCGACCGTTCTTTTGGTAAGATTCGTTTGTTTATTGGGTCGTTAATCTCGTGTGAGTTTTGTCGTTTCTCGCGAATGCCCTCTTTTCCTCACAGTTTTACGATTGTGTGCTTAGCCCATTGTTATCTATCTATTTTTTTGCGTATTCAGTCTTGTTTTTAACTTGGGGGATTTTTTAACTTTCTCAGTAGTTCTTATTTTCTCACCAGTTTCATTTAGTTTTCCCGTGCCTTATCGTTTCTTCTTTTTATTCCCCCTACTTAGTATTACTTTGTCACGAGCATTAGTTCTACCCTAATTCCTTATTTTCTCACCAGTTTCATTTTGTTTCCTTATTTTCTCACTTGTTTTCTTATATCCGCACGTGTCCTTCGCTCGCCACCAGATGAGTTGCCGTCAGTGCAATTGCAGTTGTTGACGGCTGTGGTCAAACTGTTCTTACGCAGACCACAGAAAGCCCAGAAATTAGTACAGCAGGTGTGTACATTGGCATTATATAATTATATACGTATGTATACTTAAGCACATGTATGTAGAAAGACATAGGTATGTATGTACGTAGCTGTTTAGACACACATATGTATATATACACATGTTTAGATATATATATATATATATATATGTATGTTTATAATATATATATATATATATATATATGAACAAGTGGATACTGTGTATGTATGAACCCTGAATGGATTTATAGTCCATTGTTGATTCTCTTATGTATGCAGTTGTGAGAGCTTTATAAGTAAATAAGTTGGAAGAGGCTCATGCGAATACGTACTACAATGGATCAGCATTGTGTAGTCTGAACATCTTTTGGCTGGTCATCGTACACAAGCGGAGAGTATTACACGCATATACGTATGCAAAACGAGCCCTGATGTGCGTATGCTTGTATGTATATATATATATGCGTGTATGTATGTATGTATGTGTGTGTATATGTATGTATATATCTATGTATCTATGTATCTACCTATGTATGTGTATGTGTGTGTCTATGTATCTATGTAATTATATTCTATGTCGCTAATTATCGCTCACAAGCCCAGGCAATCCAGCAAGTACATCCATACCCCCCCTCCACCCTGACTCTCTAACCCACTGTTCTGTATACTGTTCTGTATACTGTTCTGTATACGTGTTGATGTGCTTGTGTACTACTGTGTCAGGTGTTGAAGACAACCACAGAAGAGGTACAAGACCCAGACCTGCGCGACAGAGGCTACATCTATTGGCGACTGCTATCAACAGACCCCGCCATGGCAAAGGTATCCATGGCAACCATGAGCACACACATGGAAAAATCATGAGCACACACCCATAACAACCAAGACGACATCCATAGCAACCATGAGCACACGCACATAGCAACCATTAGCACGCATGCACGGACCACGAGGCCGAAGCAATCACATCATTTATAGACACACGCGTAACAACAATCCCATCCGATGGCACAAACAGTCAATGGACTGTTTCCATCATATTTCCAACTACTATCAATATCTGGCAATTGTGTATACTGCGTTTCCATAGAAACCGTAAAATGTGTTTCCATAGCAACCCCAACAATGCTCCCGTATTTCTCATGCGAGTGCTTGCGGTGTGTTCTATTCTCGGCACAGCGCATCGTGTTGGCCGAAAAGCCTCTGATCAACGACAGTCAAGAACGCACCGAACCCAAACTGTTGGAAGAGCTGACCTCCACAATAGGCTCACTCGCCTCAGTCTACCACCGCCACGCCTCAGTAAGTAGCCCTACCACATGTGGTCAGTCATGAGCATGCGTGTTATTTGTTGCTGATATTTGTTAGCGTTGTTAGTAGTTAACATTCTTGTTAGTTGTTGATATCAATGGTAGTCATGCTTGTTGTTGGTTGATGATATACTCTCTTATTATGCTCCTCGGTTGTTATTGACATTTGTATCATTGTCGTAGTCTCTAATGACCAATCACTAACCGTATCCTGATGTGTTGCTTACCTACATCGCCTCATTAGGAATTCGTGGGCAAACCCCGCCACAAAAGGAGCTCAGGCAATCGAAGTAAACCCGAGACACGTATCAATGCACAAGACATGGGCGACACAGTCAACAGTACCACCAGCATGGATAAGGTAGCAGTGCAGCCAACCACGCCCTACAACCCTACAACCCTAAAGTCCTATAACTCTATAACCCTAAAACCGTACACCCATACAACCATGAGTGCGTGCGCGTGTGTCCGATCACACGCGTGTGGTTGGGGGTGCTCAGTGGTTAATAGGTAATGCCATAGAGCGAGTGTGTCAGCGTCAGCGTGTGACTTATTAACACCCAACCACAACAATGAAGAGATAAGAACACAGCCATTGGCACTTGGAATAGCAATGCATGTGTCACGTTGCTGGAGTTGTCCCCACTCCTGCATAGCAACCACCTCACTACTGCATAGCAACCACCTCACGACTGCATAGCAACCACCTTACTACTGCATAGCAACCACCTCACTACTGCATAGCAACCAACTCATACCTTTCTCGCTGGTTACCACTCGTCGCAACACCAAATACAACAGCAAGAAAACAGTATGGTAGGCGATCTACTGGATCTCTCGTTAGAACAAGCGCAACCACAACAGACCAACCCTCCAGGCATGCAGCTCATGGGCATGGGCATGAGCACCGACGCCATGACACAAGGAAATTACGGTAGGTGTCGCACCGTTTGATTTACGTGTATGTGGCAATATATATATATATATATATATATGTATGTATGTATGTATATATATATGTGTGTGTGTGTATGTATGTATGTATGTGTGTGTTGTGTGTGTATGTGTATGTATATATAAATATATATATATATATATATATATATATAT